CGGCAACTGATCGATACTCAGCCTCCGTGGAGGATCGAGCAACTGTACGTTGTTTCTTGGATGACCAAGAAATAGGATGACGACCAAGATAGACAATATAGGCACTCGTTGAGGTATAATCATCTTTGTTTCCAGCCCAATCAGCATCTGAGAATGCATGAAGGGAAAGTGGATTTGCCTTGTGAAGGAATAATCCATGAGTTAATGTGCCACATAGATATCGAAGCAGTCGTTTTGCAGCATTCCAATGTTCAGACGTCGGGCGATGCATGAATTGAGAAAGCTTGTTGACAGCATATGCTATGTCTGGGCGAGTGAGACAAAGATACTGTAGACTGCCAACAATTGTTCTATATTCTGTGCAGTCAGTTAGAGCTGTACCTGAATGAAGTGTAAGATTTCCATCTGTAACAAGTGGTGTAGCAACAGGTTTTGCACCAATCATTTTTGTCCGGGCAAGAAGATCAGTGATGTAGCGCCTTTGAGTAAGCAGCAGACCGGATGGAGTAGTTAGAACCTCAATGCCGAGAAAATAAGACAATGTGCCAAGATCCTTGATTGAAAATCTTTGTGCCATGAGGTCAATGTAGCGCTGAATAATATTGGTGTTGGTGCCTGTGATAATAATGTCATCCACATAAACAAGTAGATATATAGTAGTGTCACCTGAGTGAAGAATGAATAGGGAAGTGTCTGCTTGAGAGTTTGTGAACCCAGACTCAATGAGGAATTGGTGAAGTTCAAGGTACCAAGCCCGTGGGGCCTGCTTGAGTCCATATATTGCCTTCTTTAGTTTGCATACATGTGTTGGATTGTCTTTATCAACAAATCCTGGAGGCTGGGCCATGTAGACATCTTCGAAAAGATGGCCCCTGAAGAAAGGCATTATTAACATCCAATTGTCGCAATTGCCAACCTCTACTGACTGCCAGGCTTAGAACAAGTCGTATTGTTGTCGGCTTGACAACCGGACTAAAGGTGTCATGATAATCCACTCCAGGTATTTGATGAAAGCCTTTGGCAACTAATCTAGCTTTGTACCTGTCAATAGAACCATTAGGAAGCCGTTTAATACGAAAGACCCACTTACATCCAACAAGATTCTGCAGAGAAATAGATGGAACAAGCTCCCAAGTTCCATTCCGAACAAGAGCATCAAACTCATCATTCATAGCTTGTCTCCATTTGGGATCTTTTAGGGCTTGAGAAACAGTATGAGGCTCAATGTCTGATGGTTGAGAAATGATAGCAGTGAGGTTTATTTTGGTTAGGGGTTTGTGGATGTTGTTTTTCGATCTAGTGGTCATGGGATGGGTATTTTGATGGGTGGGTTGCGCTATGATTGAAGCAGAAGAGGTCTCAGAATTGTGTGGTTCTAGTGGTAAATGGTCGACGATGGTTTCTTGGCGATTAACCGAGCTGTGTTCGGGTAAAGGGAGGTCTATGGATAGGGATCGACGGTCGACTGATGAGGAAGGGCAGTGGTCTGTTTGGGTATTTTGTGACGGATGTTGACATGAGGAATCCCTTTGTGGAGGCGTATTGAGTGAGCCACTTGAAATTGGTAAAATTTGGACCGGGGGAAGCCATTTGGAAATGATCTCTGGGGTGGGACGCGCTAGATGGATTTGGTGAGTGCTAAAGGGAAATGAGTTTTCAAGAAATTTGACATGACGAGAAATGTATATTTTAGAAGTGGATAGAGCGAGACAGATATATGCACTTTGTGTTAAAGAGTAGCCAAGAAAAACACAAGGAGTGGAACGAGAGTCAAGTTTGTGCTGAGAATAAGGACGAAGCCACGGATAACATAAGCAACCAAACACCCGAAGTTTAGTGTAGTTGGGTTGAGATTCAAAGAGTTTCTCAAAAGGAGATGAAAAATGTAGTGTGGGTGTGGGCATACGGTTGATGAGATATACAGCAGTGGCAAAGGCGTAAGTCCAATAAGTTAAAGGCATTGATGCATGAGTAAGGAGAGATAGACCAGTTTCAACAATATGTCGATGACGTCGTTCAGAAAAACCATTATGTTCTGGTGTATGGGGTGGTGTAGTAAGATGTGATATACCATTGGTGGAGAGAAAACGATCAAGGGCTTGATATTCACCACCATTATCTGAATAGAGGGTAATAATTCGGTGTTTAAATTGGTTTTCGACTAATGCCTTGAAACGTACAAAGACGTCATGCACATGAGATTTTCGTTTAAGGGGATAATACCAAATATCGTGTATAATGATCAACAAAAATAACATAGTATTGAAAACCATCAATAGAATAAACAGGAGAGGTCCAGACATCAGAAAAGATAAGTTCAAGCGGGTGAGATGAAGTTAAGGTAGAAGAAGAAATGGAATTTTATGACTTTATTGCATGAACATGCATTGCAATGTGTGAAGGAGGATAACGGACTAGACAATGGTAAAGGAAATTTGGAAACAATATTTTTCATAATAGTAAATGACGGATGACCTAGTCTAGAGTGCCACTCGGACGAAGTGGTCTTGACACTGGAAAATGCAAGCAATGGTGAAGAGGAAACTGAAGGGGATGTAGTCGGCCACTCATATACGCCATCCTTAGGTTTACCCATCAAAAGGATTGTCCCCGTGTTTAGATCCTTCACCTGAAAAGCAGAGGGTGAGAATTCAACAGAAACATGGTTATGAGTGCAAAATTGATAAATCGAAATTAAGTTCTTTTTCATGGAAGGGACACAAAGGACATTTTGTAAAGTAAAGGTGCGAGAGGAAGTTGGTATGGTGGTAGAACCAGTATGGGTTATGTGAAGGGCCGATCCATCGCCAATCATGACATCATCATATCCTTGGTACGAGCTATGAAGAGAGAGATTGCTCAAGTCAGACGTAACGTGGTGAGATGCTCCACTATCCAGCAGCCAAGTAGGTGTAGTGTTGTTGCCCAGAATAGTATGATTGGCTCGTGGTTGCCAGGGTGGAAGGGCGATATCCCTGAGAGCCTTGAGGACGAGATGCTGGTGATTGTTGATTATTGACAAGCCGAAACATCGGGCATCGTTTGGCAGTGTGTCCTTGAGTGCCGCATGCTTGACAACGACCCAAATAAGGTTTGGGTTGGCGTTGATCATGAGGAGAAAGTATAGTGGTAGGGCCTGATTGTTGTGAATTGGTGGCTGGTGGACGCCAATTTGGACGATTTCGAAAAGCCGTGGGATTTGCCGTGGCTGGTAGTGATAGGGAAGGTGGTTGAGCGGTCTGAAGAGATGTTTCTTTGTTGAGAAGTTTCTCATGAAGTTCAGCAAAAGAAATTGACGTGTCACGGGCATTAATGGCATCAATGACAGATTTATACTCATCACTTAGTCCTTCTAGAACCCGATCAATAAGATCCTCATCATCAATTGGATTCCCTAGAAGAGCAAGTTCATCGGCACGAGTCTTTATCGCTTGCATGTATTCACTAATTGATTTTGAGCCCTTGTTACACCGCTTTAATTGTTCCTTCAATTGTTTAATATGACCACGAGATGGTTTGGCGTAGGTATTAGCTAAGGTTTGCCATGCATCAAGGGAAGTGGTGGTGCGGGCAATAAGCGGTTGCAATGAAACGGAGATGGCACCAAGGAGAGCGCTAAAAAGGAGACGATCCTGACGCTTCCAGGTTGTGTACGCCAGATTTGGAGATGTAACACCATTGATGGTGATGGTGGGTTGTGGTGGAGTTTGAGTGCCATCAATAAAGTGATGAAGATCATAACCTTCAAGAAGAGATTGGATTTGAAGGCTCCATGTGAGATAATTGGTGGATGACAATTTGGTGATATTGGAGAGATTTATTGTAAGGAGAGGATGTTGAGGATCTTGAGAATTTTGGATAGTAATAGGATCGTTGGTGGAAGAGGAAGTCGTATGGGAAGCCATTGAAGGGACTAGTGGCGTAGTTTTAGATATATGTATATGAAGGATCGTGGTGTTTTTGAACCAAAAAAAAAATGAGAAGAAAATATGCTCAGGAAGATTAGGCTCGTGATACCATGTTGAAATAGAGAGAAGAGTAATGAGAAACAATGGCTTGAGTTTTCCATTGATTAAGAGTGAATATATATACACAAAATTGGACACATAGAAATAGGAAACTAGCCTAGAGTTAGGGGATTACAACTAATTACAAGGCATAGAAATAGGAGACTAGCCTAGAGTTAGGGGATTACAACTAATTACAAGAATATTATAATTGATTACAATAATTTAAAATATAGATAAAATCTATTATAATTAATTCTCTAATAAGCATAACGTGTAAAAGATATAATAATTATCTCCTTGATCGGGAAAATACCATATAATAGTTTTAATGGAAAAAAAGAATTTTATAGACAAATTTTTTTAAAAAAGTTTTAGAGAAATTTAAAGTTTTTTAAAATAATAATTTTATATTTTTATTTAAATAAAATATTCAAAAAATACAATAAAATTTTAGAGAATTTTAAAGTTTTTAAATAATAATTTTGTACTTTTATTTATATAAAATATTCAAAAAATATAAATGTATATGTCATATTTTGAGTAATTAACAGGTTTTAATCAATCTTGAGAAAATAGATACATAAAATGATAACTAAAAAATGTTAGATATGTACCTTGACTAAAAAAATATTAAATACCTGAAATATAATTTAAATATTTATTTTTTAATTAAGTTAAAATCAAATAATAAGGACTTACAAAACCTTATAGATCCTAAATTCCAAATAGAGAGAATTGGAATAATAATAATAGTAATGGAAACAAAGTATTGGATTTAATGAACTAAAATTTCAATTATTGGTTGATTCATTAATGTTATTTTATAAGTTTTAAAATATTTAAAAAAAAATTAAACTCTGAGAGTGAAATTAAGAAAATATATTTGTATGAGGTTGAGGAATTAAATATAAAATTATTTAATCAATAAAGATATAAGATTTCTTTTAATTTTATATACCGCAATGAACTACTGAAATTAACATTAATGTCCATAGAAACAAAAATGTCTAAAGCATAAATGCATGGACAGTTGCAATTTCATATTTGTTTCTTTCCACTTGATTCCTTCCGGATAAAATGCAATCCATCTCTGATTCCTGATTTCCTCACCAGTCACTACACAGAGAGAGACGCCTCTCTCGATGTGGGAGTTTTGGTCGGAAAATGCAGAGATGGTAAGCAATTTAACTTGCAGAAAAAGAAGAGCATTATTAGTACATATTTATAGTCTCAAATTGATCCAGGGAAATTCAGTGAGGAATGCTTAGCATTTCAATAATCTGGTCTTGCTGAGTTCTGCTCTTCTTGGACATAGGCTCAGGTGATGATGATGACGATGATGCCACTGCCCACGAATCGTTCGAGCTATCCGAACTAAACAACACATCGATCACGCCATTCGGGCTTCCCGGGATGGATCTAAACCCACGCTTCTTTGATCGGTTGCCTTCGACTCTCGTTGTTGCCGATTCCATTATCAGCTCACAGCATTCATTTACCCTGTCCTGGTTCAATACATGAATACCAGATTTAATAAGAACTTGCACTTTTAACATTGTTAAAAAAAGGCAAGAGAAACAAATACCTTATCAATTCCCAGGATGCCTAATAGTTGGTTTTCGTATTCTACTCTAAGACTAGGCTCCACACTATCCACAACGTGCAGCATTGTAGCAGTAGCCATTACAGAAGGAAGGTAGCACATAAACCTAGAATCTGCCGATGAATTTAACAAGAAGAAATCTTTTATTAATTGCATATAGATTACAGATAGCATCCAATTTAATAAAAGGGTGCTAACCTGAAATGACAGAGAGCAGAATCCGGTTGCATCTCCTGAGAAATTCCCAGCAAAGATGGTCCTTTAATCCAAGCCTCCTTGCGATGAAATCGAGAAACGAAAGTGGGGTTACAGGGTTCATCTTCCATTGAAGGGATGAGAGTACCAAAATTTCCATTCTTTGGATAGTTTTGGCCTCGAACACATACCTGGCCTCCTCCACCTAAACAGATCAACACATTTTTAAGTTGAATCGAAATGGCAAATGCATTAAACTACATCAAAGTTAAACAGTAAAGAGACATACTTGTAAATCCAGTAGGAGAGGAACTTGGGTTTCCTCCACTTTGGCCGCAAGAGAAAGACAAGCAACGGCTGCAAGTTGAGTCGTCCATGGCTTCTCGCTTTGGAACCGGAAGCTAAACAAGAATCTATCGAGATAATTGACGGCGAGAACTGCGGTGAGAGCAGAGAAAGAAAAGTGAGCATTGACTTTCAACACCCATTCCACAGCTTCCCGACGTGCCTTGGCTAGATTCTCATCGGCTTGAACGCTATCAAACAACTGATTCTGCTCTTCTTTCGAAAACAAAGAGGAACGTTCATCGTCTTCCCAGAACATGTCTTGTTCTAACAAAACTGGAAAAGGGTTAGATTCATTAACAACCCCATTACCGAAACAACTTTCTTCTCCATCCTCCCAATTCTCTTCTGAACAATAAAGAGCATCGAGAGCGTCTTGATGATTTAAAGCCATTCTGTTCCACTAAAAAAAAACAAACTTGTTCAGATCTTTGTTTCCATTATAGAACAGAGAAGAAGGAGAGAAGAAGAAAGAGAGGCCTTGAGGCATCTCTCTTGTGAGCATTGGACAAAGGAGGGGTATTTGTCTAGTGAGTTGGCTCAGTTGTCTGGTCTGATGAATCAATCAATGGGGAGTATAGTACTACTTAAGTAAGTCGTCGGAGAAGAAAAGTTTTGTTTTTTTAATAAGGGAAAATCTCGTGTCCATCGACCCACAGAACAGATGAATCATAGCCCATGCAACGCATTTACTGGACACGCGACATTCTTTCCCTTCAAGACTCTGGACCCCATCAAAACAAACTCCTTCCCTCCCGTTTGATTTCTACATTCAGATTATGGCCGTAGATCCTGTTATATAATATACTATTGATTATTGATAATAATTATTATCATTAATTATGATAAATACTGATAATTACTATTGATGATATATAAATTTTAAAGCTTATGGATATATTTAATCAACTTTTTTATAACTGATCATTATAATAATTTAATATTTAAATTTGTTAATAGAAAATACACATAAAATTTTAAATAATTAAATATTTATTATTTTAATAGAATAAGCTATATTTATCAACATATTTGTAACATTTTTTAAATTATTATGAGGTAAGTATAAGGTAGTATCAAAGATAATTTTCAATAATTTGATATTAAACACTTATAATTCTAATATTTCTAGTACTCGAACTCAAATCTCAAGGAATAACAATAATTCATTTACTATTGAGGTCGCTTGATTCATCCTATTTGTAACAGAATTTTTATATAAAAAGTAGTTCAAAATTATTAATTTATTTAAATTTTTATATAAAAAGTAGTTCAAAATTATTCATTTACCATCTATTTTCATAATGTAAATTTTTTTAGTTTCACATAGATTTAAGACTAATTGGTTAATAAATTTATATGACTGAGATTGTCTCATTGTTCTTTTTTCTAGTTAATATTTTCTCATTTTTTTACCCTTGATCTCAAATATATATTTTTACTATTCCAACGATTCTATATATGTATAAAATTAAAGAGTTTTACGTTATGTAAGTGGATCATAATCCATATAAGAATATGATCCTGTTACTATATTGTTGAAAACATTTTGATATTTCGATATAACAAATTAAGATAAATGAATTTTAAGATTTTCCAAAAAGATTTTCTAAGTATATTCGATATAATTATTCGAATATCAAAATATTACTCCAAATCTTTCAAAAGTCATTTTTAATCCTTACTCAAGTGTAAAATTAAGTTTTAATCTTAAAATTATTTCAAAATAATTTTACAAAGTATTTCGAACCGTTTCAAAGCCAAAAATTCCAGAATGTCCAGAGGGAATCGATTCCCCCCCAATGGGGTACCGATTCCCCCCTGAATGGTTTGGCTCCGAGAAAAACAGAATGCTCGGAGGGAACCGATTCCCCCCCAAGGGGGTACCGATTCCCCCTGTTTAACGGTCGAAATATTTGAATTTTACACTCAGGGAACCGATTCCCCATGAGGGGGGTACCGATTCTCCCACGCTCCAAACTGTTGTATTAATGGTTTTCACACTTAAACGGCTCCATTGACTTCACTAATCATCCCCAACGTTCAGAATCAATTGAGGGAGTATTTAAACAAGTTATGAAGACTTTGATCAACAAGAAATCATAGATAAACAAGAGAGAAAGCATCAAACACCAAGTTTGTGCAAATCAAGCCAATTTTCTTTTCAATATTCATTTTGCTTTCAAGAACACAATTTGTGCTCATTTGTAATTATTTGTGAGTGTTCTTTTCTTGTTCTAGAATTGTGCAAACATCTTACCTTGTGAGGTTTTCCTTGTAAGTTTGCAAATTTGTGTATTTCTCTTTGAAAAAGAGTGTGCTCAAGAATTTGGGGTATAATTCTTGAGGGAGTTGTAAGGTTACTCTTTGTCCTCAAAAGAAAGAACAAATTAGTGAATTTGTTGGAAAATCCTTAGTGTGGATAGCTAAGGTAGTGGACGTAGACTTTGGTTGAGGAAGTCGAACCACTCTAAATCGTTGTGCAAATATTTTCAATTTTCTGCAAAAGCTTCCACCAAAATTTTAATTGCCAATTCACCACCTTCTTGGCCATTTCCATAAATCGATTAACTCAATAATTGGTATCAGAGCTTGACTCATTTGAAGGTTTAACCGCCTCTTGAGTAGATCCGGGAAGAGTTAAATCGATAAAGATGGCGTCCACTTCTGGTTCATTCTCCATGGAAGAATCCAGACCTATTGACGTGCCTTCATACTTCAATGGAACAAATTATCGTCATTGGAAGAGGTGTATGATGATATTCATCAAAGCATTTGATATGGAAGCTTGGATGATAATCAAGAAAGGATATTCCTCTCCTACTAAGAAGGCAAAGAAATGGAGTGTTCAAGAACGGAAGGAAGCTCAACAAAACTCAAAGGCTATGCACATGTTGAGTTGTGCAATTGATTCTAATGTATATAAAGGAGTTTCTTCTTGTTCAAGTGCCAAGGAAATGTGTGATAAGCTTGAGGAGATCTATAGAGACAAGGAAGAAGAAGAACTAATAAAAGTGATGTCTCTATTAGCTCTCACATAGTCAAAGGTATCTTCTAACTCAAATATATCAAATTCAAAATCTTTTAATGAGTTACAAGATGCTTATGATAAATTATTTTCGGAGTTTGAGACCATGAACTCCAAATACAATAAATTGATTTCTAAATTTATTGCTAAAAATGATCTTCTTTTGAAAGCTAAAACAGACTTGGAAAATCAAAATGAAATGTTGAGAAAGGAGTTAGAGCTTTCAAAAATAAAATCTGAAAACTTTGAAAAAGAAATTTCAAATTAAACAAACTTCTTCTAGAAATGAAAATGGATTTTGAAAATCAAAATGAAATCTTGAAGAAGGATTTATAACTCTCAAAAATGAAATTTGAAAGTATTGAAAAAGAAAATTTCAATTTGAAAGATAAGCTTGAATGTTTAACAAGAGAAAAAGAGATCATTCTAAATAATCGATCTAGTTCAATAATGACAATATGTTCACATTGTCATTATCATGGTCATAAGGAACATACTTGTCCTTTAAAGAAAGGAAAACGATTTAAAATTAGACAAGTATGGGTTCCAAAAGGAACAAGAGGCATTGAAACTAATGTTCAAGGATCCAAAGCAATTTGGATACCAAAATCTACTTAAATGTCTCTTGTAGGTGTGTGAGAGCAATGGTGATAAAGATGGTGATATTCAAGATGCTCTAGCCACACATAAAAAGGGAATGGGTAACCTCTAAACTTAATGTTTTTATTATTTGGTTGCTCATTTAGTTTATGCATGCATGAGGTTTTAAAATTTTGAATTATGTTTTATCTCATGTATGTTAAAAAAAATATATTGTATGATGAACATGGTAATTTTTGGTAATGTTTTATAAACTCTAGTTCATCACATTATTTTTTGGTCAAAATTGTTTTTAAAATGTAATTGATATCTCTTTAACAATTGATATCGATTTTTCAAGAACTTTGGTTTTGCAAAATTTTGACTTGAATTTTTTCTTAATGTTTATGCATAGATTTTTGTTTAAATATTATAAAGTTTTAATGCATAACATTTTCAAAAACTTTATGCATGTGCTCTTAATCTCTATAATCAACATTGCATAATGTTTTATATGTGAATGGGTTAAAAGCATAATCTTTTGAAAAATAAATTTGATAAAAGATATAATGTTTTACTTTAAATGATTGCAAAATTGATTGACATTGCATCTATTTTCGATTATGCTTGTTGGTCATAAAATAGGGATATATACATGATGCATTTAGATTTTATTGATATGACTATTTTGTGCCTAGTTGCTAGGGATGAGCATGATAATTTGTTATGGCATAGGAAACTAGGACATGCTAGTATGAGTGTTTTGCAACGGTTAGTTCGAGGAGAATTGGTTCGAGGGCTGCCTAAACTAAAATTTAATAATGATAAAATCTGTGATGCTTGTGCTAAAGGAAAACAAAAGCGAGTTTCTTTTAAATCCATTAATGATGTGTCAACTATTAGAGTATTACAATTGATCCATATAGATCTTTTTGGGCCAACTAGGACTACTAGCTTGGGTGGAAAACAATATGCATTTATCTTGGTAGATGATTATTCTAGATATACTTGGGTTCTATTCTTAAGTACTAAATATGAAGCATTAGAAAATTTCATCATATTTTCAAAAGTAATCCAAAACGAAAAAGGTTACCCTATCACTAGTGTCAGAAGTGATCATGGCACTGAATTTGAAAATCTTGGATTTAATGAGTTTTGTAATTCTAATGGTATTAGCCATAATTTTCAGCACCTAGAACCCCTCAACAAAATGGAGTTCTTGAGAGGAAAAATCGAACTTTAGAAGAAATGGCTAGAATCATGCTTTGTGAAAATAACTTGCCAAAATATTTTTGGGCGGAAGCCACAAATACCGCTTGTTATGTTGTAAATCAAGTAATGATTAGGCCAATTTTAAAGAAAACTCCATATGAAATTTTCAAAAATAAAAAAAAACCTAACATTATCTATTTTCATCATTTTGGATGTAAATGTTTTGTTTTAAACAACGGTAAAGAAAACCTTGGCAAATTTGATGCTAAAAGTGATAAAGGAATTTTTCTGGGTTATTCCTTAAATTCTAAAGCTTATCGAGTATTTAATAAAAGAACTTTAGTTGTAGAAGAGTCTATACATGTTGTTTTTTATGATAATCTCCTTCCGAGGAAGGATTCTTGTGTTAATGATGATGTAGGTATTATAAATACAAATGACGTTAGACATGACGTTGGAGAATCATCATCGAAGGAAGAAACGAAAGATGAGGAAACTCATGATCCTCTCGAGAATCCAACCATTGAAGAAAGGGAAGTATCTTATCCAACAGAGTACAACTATGTCAATGATGGTGAGATTATAGGTGATCCATCCAAATGGGTAACTACTCGATCTTCTCTTAGAAATATTTGTAATTATGTTGCATTTATCTCATGCATAGAGCCTAAGAATATTAAAGAATCATTAAATGATGAACATTGGATTATGGCTATGCAAGAAGAGTTAAATCAATTTGAGAGAAGTAAAGTATGGACAT